GGCCTCTGCCCTGGAAACTTCGGGGCTTTGATGGCCCAAGAAAGGAGGCAGCAGGTGGAGCAGGCATCATAAGGCAGCCAAGGCCTGAATGTGTGTCTCGGAGAGGAATGGGCATGGGCGGGGGGGCGAGGGGGGGGGGTTGGTGATCTTAGCAGAGCTAGCCTCAGGAAATCCCAAAGATGGACATCGAAACGTGTGTCCCCCATCCTTGCCAAATACAATACAAACCACAGATAACTGTTCACATGACAATCACACTGGGAAATTTAAAACAGCTAGTTTCTGGGGCGCCTGGGTGGCTCAGTCGTTAAGCGTCTGCCTTCGGCTCAGGTCATGATCCCAGGGTCCTGGGATCGAGCTCCGCATCAGCCTCCCTGCTTCGCGGGAAGCCTGCTTCTCCCTCTCCTACTCCTCCTGCTTGTGTTCTCTCTCTCGCTGTCTCTCTCTGTGTCAAATAAATAAATAAGAAATCTTTAAAAAAAAAAAACCAACCAGCTAGTTTCTGAGTACACTGGAGACATAATTGAGTTGCTAAAAAATGGATTCAGCCGCAGTAGCTCAGGGAATACAGTCGGTTGCAGGTCTGAGTCCTAATCTCGACTCCTCCACCAACTAGCCACGGGACCTCAGACAGGTCACTGCACCTCTCCGCCTCCCTGTCCCCAACTGAGGGCTCTGAAGGTGCCGTGTGTGGCAAGGTGGGACTTGAAACGTGGGGCTTCTAGTCCTGGTTCTACCCCTAAGAAGCAGCGTGACCTCTGCCATCACTTAACCTCTCTGGGATATAAAATAAAGGATGTGAAGACACTGGGCTCTGGAGTCCCTTCGGATGCCACCAGAGCTGCTTTCTCCCCAGGATGTCTCCCCAGCATGCTGAAATCTAACCCCCATATCCACCAGAAGAAAAACGATGCCACCCGACACCTACTTTATGACCCAGCTCAAATTCAACAGTTGGGCTAGGAGAGGAGATGAGGAGAGTTGAGAGTGTAGAGGTATGAATAAAATGCACAGGTAAATCGGAGTCACAAACAAATGAACTCTAAAAGCCCCACTCCCTGAGAAGACATTTTCCTATTATTGGACCACCCAGAGCAAAATCCAAGGCCACCTATAACAGTGGGCCAATAGCGTCTTGAAAAGTCCCAACTCTGTGGTTTGCCGCATCACCTCCGATCAGAATCAACTTAGGAAGTCGGTTTTAAAAGAAGCGGAGTGCCATTTCCATTTTGGAAGGGGAAGAAAAATCAACTGCTTCTATTTGCAGTTCTATAAGGAACCTTCTGGCACACCATCAAATGTGGGATCCTGCTCAACAGGAGGGTGCAGACAGCAGTTGGGGAGAGGCCCATGCAGGTCACATTCAGCATGAGTCACGGGAGGCTCCACGGGATGCGAGAGGACCCCCTCAGTGCTCAACAAGGAGTGCCCTCCTTCCTGGCAAGAACAGCAGGGGTACAAATCTTTCTTCTCGGGAGGCCACGTGGTTTGGAGAAGAAAAGTTTTGGATTCAGGGGACTCCACTTCTGCTTAATAGTTGTGTGACTTTGGGCAAGCTACTCTTCCTGTAAAGGCCTTGATTTTCTCATGTGTGTCATGGGAAGAACAATACCTAATACCACAGGGTCATTGGGGGGATTCAGTGACATAATTTACCTAAAATACCCTGCACACAGTGGATGATCAAGAAACGTTGGCACACAGAGAGTACTTGGGTGGCTCTCCGTCGATGGAGAAGGGGTCCGGGAGAAGTTTGTCTTAGAGTGAAGTCAGCCAAGACTGCCCCTAGAGAGTCCAGATACACCTGACCCACAGATACTTGCCACCAGGGAGGTAGGGAGCATATGTGGTACCCTGCACCATGTCTCCCATTGAGAGGAGAAATCATGCAAGAGCAGACAGTGGTCATGGACTCAAGAAAACTCAAGAGAATCCAAACTTTCCAAGTATGCCCAGAGCATTCCAAACACGTGCGAATACCAGGTAAGAACCACTGACCTCCAACCTCTCTCAACCAGTAGCATGAGCAGCCAGGAGCATGAGCCCAAATTTCCAGGACCAGAGGCATCCACACAATGATGGGCACAAATCAAGCAACAGAGACTAAATGTGAAGACCCTAAAATGGTGCCTCCCTTACACGGGGTCTTTGAAACACCGTAACCAGAGCGGAAAGAGGCTGGATTGCTGCTAGGGCCTCGTCCTGGGTCACAGTCGCCCAATGGTACCCAGTCCCCTGAGCACCCTAAGAGGTGCTGGGTTTTGCCCCAAGGAGGCTTTGTCAAAAGCCTGACATCTCAGCTCCCCCATTACGGCTCTCAATCAAGGCTTTGCAAGTGGTAGTCCAGGGGCGAAAAGGAGCACTAAAGAAGTATCTTAAACTCATTTCCTATAATTTTTGTATTTACAAATGAACTACTTAGGTCTTTTCTTCCTCTCCTTCCTGCATCTACCTACTACATGCATTTCAGTAGATAAAATTTGAGTCCTTACTAAAATATTTTTCATGCTTCTTTTCAAGAATATATCTTTTCTTTCTATATACCCTAGCCCCAAATGAGAATTTTTTGTTTTAGACACTGAATATTTATCACAGAACTCAGAGGCCTTTGGAAGAAAAAAAAAAACACAAAAACTTCCCAAGTCTTTTGGTTAAGTACAGAAACATAAAATTGAAACCCCTGGAATAGCCCTACTTAGATTATAAACGACTTAGGAAAGTGAGACCCATAGAATCATCTAGTTTCCTCTCCCTTCATCCTTAATCACAACCTTTTGGGCTAGATAGGGAAAAAAAAAAATCTTTCCACTCAGTGTCTACAAAAGTTATTTATCCAGAGGGCGATTTAGGAGAACCTGAACCCAAACAGTCCACTGCACAGCCCTCTGCCCAAACTATTACTGGGACTCGTTCCTTCTACTAAATGTCTAGTTTTGAATTGACAGCTACAAAAACCGGCATGCTCATTACGAAGTCATGATGTCAGGGACCATCATGTACCCTGGAGAGTGTCAGCTGACTAACCTAGCCAGGTTGCAACGGGGCCCCAGGAAGTAGGGTGACTCTTTCCGGGAAGGCAATCCTTCTTCCTCTGTGCTAGAAAATGACCAACATTCCCGTGGGGTTTGGACATGCCCACCCTGCACCCACGGGCAGCCAGGGGTGACACAGTGTATCAACCCTGGAAGGAGGATGGAGGATAAAATGGACTATTTTGTTCATTTCAGATTCTGCCTCCTCAGAGCCTGGGATCCTGGCGGGGCAGGGGAGGGGGGCAGACTCACGGCCTTTTGATTCTACCACCAGTCACCTGAAGAGATGTCTACACCTCAGTTGCGTGCCAGAGACAACTTTTGGATTTCTGTGACCTGTAAAGAAAAGCCATGTAGATTTACAAGCAATGGTCTCTGCATCCAAGCCTGACAAATGTCGAAACGGGGATGAAGGATTAAGAAAAGGTTAATCCCCCGTTTTCAAAATGTTTGACTTGGTGTTTCTTTCGAGAAAGGTCTGAATTTTTAAGAACTGTTTCAGTGACATTTGGTGGTGGTGAACACTGACCAACCCTTATTTGTGCATGCGTGTGTGTCTTCCATTGTTCCCTTGGAAACTACCTGCTCCGAGACTGCAGTCTACCATCTCCAGTAAAAGCTCTGGAAGCAGAGGGTGACAAGACAAGAGAGACAAGAGACCAAGGAAAGGAAGAATACATTTTTCTCCAACATTAACCTTCTCAACCCTACATGAAGATACAGCACTGAGGGCTCTAAAACCCCATATTAGAAACACTGACCATTATGTTCCTGGTTGTCCTTTTGTTTAATACCTATTCAAAAACTGGCAGGTGTCAGCATCTTAAAAGCAAAGGTCAAAGCTAAGGAAAAGAGCCTTGACCTTTTTTTTTTTTTTTTAAGGGAAGATTATTATCTGCGTGGAACTGAAGGCTTCCCTTTTACAACCACTAAGCTGGGTGAATCTCTTAAAAGTCCTTTACCAGCTTGGTAGGAGACATGGGGTCGGAGCCCAAAGCCCATCCAGGGCCCCGCCCCTCCCCCTGCAACACTGGGGGGCCCCAGCAAGTGAGCCTGTGGTCAGACCCACTCCTGCTGTGCCTTTGACCCTGCCGGAGGGAGAGCCACGTAAAAGGACACTTCAGTAGCAAAATCCCCTACACTCAGTTCCACCCCACCCGAAGTAGTAGTATAAGGTGGCTCCTTGCAATTTTTTAATGGCTGACAAACCCAAAGGGCTAGTGGATTCTCTGCCTCGTCTGTCTCCAGGCCCCGTGTGCTCTGGTGCTCTCCTTCTGCCTTACTTGCTGTTCCTGGCCCTCCCTTACTCCATCTCAGGCCGGGCGAGGGGCAATGAACCAATTGGGAAGACACTCCTTCCTGCTTCCTGTGAGGAACACCAATCCATCAAGATCGCTGTGCACTTTGCTACCAAGTGCTCTTTCCTCCAGACATTTTAAGTGGCTTCCCGGAATCTGAACGTTCTCATGAGCCCACTGCACCCCTACTTCTCCTCAGACTAACAGGCTTCTGCGGACAGATGTGCCTTCTCCTGCTAGGAGCGGGTGCAGCGGGGGCGGGGCGGGGTTGGGGTTGGGGAGCCGGCACCCACTGAGCTTGCCCACGACGACAGGAGCACGTGGCTTGCCAAGGAGGCCAAGGTGAAGGGGGCGGATGAGGTGAGGAGGAAAGCGCGCCCTCTCTGCTTCTCGTGATAAGGGGCAACCGAAGCTGCTAAGCCTCTCTCCTTCATGCAAATGGCCGGCAGGCATGATGTCAGGAATGGCAGGCGCCCCCTGCCCCCCCCCCCCGCCCAGTACTCCCAGGCCTTTACTAGCTCGGCCTGCCAACAGTCTTCCTCGGTGCCCCTCAGCCGGGCTGGGGTTCATCTCCTCAGATGCCACTTTCTCACACTGCCCCCTCTCCACCTTCCCGCCCTGCACTCCTCCAGGCCGCCTCTGCCCGCCCCCCCTCCCCCGCCTTCTCCGCCTCTCTGGGCTCCACGCCGAACACCTGCGTCCCCCCCAGGTCCCCAGGCCTGCGCTAACAGTGCAGGGACATCCTGCTGCGTCGCATGGCCTCGCTGATCAGGTAGGCGGGGCTCAGCTCGGGCTCCTCGGTCATGATGGCGATGTTCTGCCACTCGCCCGTCTGGCTGGACCTCTTGATGGTGTCCACCACGCACAGCGCGTACAGGCAGTCATCGAAGGTGGCGGCCATGGTGAGCGGCCGCCCGTCCCACGTGCGCCGGTCGTCCTGGTCCTGGAAGGCCTGGCGCACGGCCTGCATCATCTTGATGGTGCCGCGCAGGTAGGGCGACGGGATGTCGCTGAAGGCCTTCTCGGGCAGCAGGGAGTTGCTGACGGGCGTGGCGTCCTGCAGCAGCAGCTCCTGCTGCGGGGCCCCGTTGCGCTGCCCGTACAGGTCCGTGCCCACCGCCAGCAGGCGCCCGGCCGAGCCCACCACGGTCACGTCCTGCTTGAAGTCGCCGGGCACGTTGAAGTTGAGGGTGACAGTGCAGCACACCCCGCCCTCCAGCACCATCTGGAAGGTGCAGAAGTCGTCGCTGGTGATCTGGCGGATGCCCTTGATGTGGTCGGTCTGCTTCACAAAGGTCTTGAGCAGCCCGTGGACCTTGACGGCCTTCTGGCCGGTGAGGAAGGTGAGCAGGTCGATGATGTAGGTGCCCACCGAGTGCAGGCCGCCGCCGCCCATCAGGTCGTCGCAGCTCCAGTTGTACTTCTTGCCCAGCAGGCTGCCGCTGTGCACCTGCACCTCGCACACCAGCAGCTCGCCCACGTAGCCCTCCTCGATGAGCTGCTTCATGCGCACGAAGGCCGGCAGGAAGCGCAGCACGTTGCCCATGATGCTCATGAGCTTGGGGTAGTAGTGGGCGGCCGACATCATGCGGAAGGCGTCCAGCGGGGTGGCCGTGCGGTCGCAGATGACGTTCTTGC